ACACACTCCGCAGTGGTGGCGGGCGCGCCCCCCCCCTGAGCATCCTGCAAAGCCTCAGGGCTGGAGGAGCTCCCAGACCTGGAGACCCCTCTCTGCTGTCCTTCCCACAGCCTCTGCTCCTTCCCAACCCTGCAGTACAGCTGCCTGGCGTGAGCTCAGCGGTGGGGACATCGCAGGACAGTGCGGACAAGGGAGGCTGCCCACTGTCAGCAGCTCTGCCCTGAACTCGAAATCATCATCCTGAGACACATCTCTCCCTCTGACATGCTCCTCACCAAACTCCATCCTTCAGAGAAAAGCACCTCCCTGTGGGTGCAGAATTTCTGCTTCCTGGGAGACAAGGGTCTCAAGTTAAGACTTGGTGGGGGCTGTGTAGCCCAGGACACACCCTCTGTCAGGGCCCCTCCCTGACCTCTGACTACTGGCACCTCAGCCAGACCTTCATGGCCACCCTGCTCCCTGGTCGTGTGGGTGGCGTGGTCGCCTGGCACCCACCACTCTCCGCAGGTTCTCTTGGAGCTGGTTCACCACGACGTGCAGCCCCGACAGCTCCTTGATCATGCTGCCCAGGGCCTCGCACGAGTGCTCGCACACCTCCGGCGCCTTCTCCACGCCCTGACCCACATACTCTGTGGAGCCCGGGGGGCTCAGGTGCAGCGTGTCCGTGTCCTCGCTGATGGCGTTGGCTTCGGCTGCAGGAAGGACATGAAAACAGTGAGCCCACCGGCCTCTGGCCACAGCGTGGTGGCCTCGCAGGGCACTGCCCGGAGCTGAGGCTGGACGGCACTTGTCCCGAGTGGCTCAGGCTAAATTATGAATGGGAAGAGCTGAAGCCGAGGCCTCGCTTCCGGCCCCACCTTCATGGCGGGGCTCCACCCAGGTCTAGCACCACAGACTTTACGTCAGAACCCACACTGTGAGCAGAGCAGAGGTTCAGCTCAGGGAGAGAAAGATGCAGAAGGCCTCAGAGACGCCCACTGGCAGTGGGTGGGGGTCAAACCAATTAGATGTGGCAGTTTCCTGCTCTTGTTTTCAGCCTCACTTCATAGGCGTATTTATATTACCTACTATCCACAATAAGCTCCTTATTTTCATCCCCAGAATCTGTCCCAACCACGTATTCTCCACAGATTGGATGACCCCTCCCTGCTCTCCCTTTATCCGGCTCTTCCTCCCTGAACCCCTGTTCTGTGGGCTCCTTGCCCTGCAGGGAGGCACATGGGGCTGTTGTCTTGCTCAGTGATTCCTCCTTGACATGTCGTTTCTCTGCTGGCCTCGTGTAACCACCAAAATGCAGGGTGGAAGCCTGACCGTGGGTTCGGAATCTCACTGCCCCAGAAATCGGACGAGACCCTGAGGTCCTCGTCAGGGGACATGGGCAGCTATGCCACAAATTACAGAACTGTTTGGGGCACGGGCGGAAGTGGGGTCACTGACATGTGGCCCGAGCCTCTCTCTGCAGAGACCGCCACGTGTCTTGTCTGAGACACCCCACTACTGAGTGAAGGCTGGTGACTGCTGTCACTCTGGCATTCTATCATGAGGTTTCACGGCTTGGTTAGAACCCGTGCAGTTCCCACAGATCGCGGGAGCGCCCGTCAGACCCACCAGCCCTGTAACTGCGTGCACCCACAGGAACACAAGCGCGTCACTCACCAGACGAATACGTGAGCGAGAACTCTGCAACAGCCGGGAGAGCTCACGCAGGCGGGGCACCCCTTGTTCGTGGTGTCTGATACAAGGCCGGCGGGCTGCACGGGGGCTGGTGCTGGGACAGGCCTGCGGTTGGGGCAGCTTCCCTTCTCCCTCCCTCCAGGGCAGAACGCCCGCCCTCCTCTCCTCTGTCAAGGGGCTGGGCCCTCTCCACGGTGCTGGCGCACCCGGTGATGCGCAGCCCTTGCTCACACCCAAGACACCTCCCCCCAGCCGGGCCGGACCGCCCTGCTCTCCCCACCTCTAGCCGAACCTGCCAGCGGATGTCAGTTTACTGCCGTAGCCTTCTCAGAGCTCCTGCTTTTTTATGACTGTGCCCCCTAAAAAGACCGTGACCTAATCCAGAGGGACCCATCTTGGCATCTGAGCAGAGCTGGCGGTACCGGAGGGGGCGTGGCCCCAGCTGCAGCTCTCGGTCTGGGACTCAGGACTGCGAGCGTGTGTCACAGGCCGTATTATAAAGCCTCCTCTCTGCAGAGTTCGCCAGAAACCACAACTAACTTCTTTCCTTCCTGGAACTCAACTGACCAGCAGTTGAACGATGTGCGGATGGAAAGACAGATGGTCTTGGATGGAAGGACTCAGGCTCACTCCACAGACACCACCCTCGGGACACCGGGACTCTGAACCCTGCGACCAGCGCTCCCAGCTCGGGGTCCAGTGCAGGACAGCAAAGCCCCACCGGTGCCTCACAGACATCAGATCCACGTGCCCTCACGTGACGATCCATAAAAGAGCGATTTGCGCTTGTCATAATTCCCAGGAGACACGAAGAAGCCATCTGAGTGGACGCAAACCACAAAACGAGATCACGGGACAGGTAAGAGCCTTTCTGTGGGGACTCGGCCCCATGGGGGTCGGGAGAGGTGGCCCTGCTGCTCACAGATTGTCACCTGGAGACTTATGGGGCCTCCTGGCACCTCCACTGCTTTGTTTGTAAAGTGAAGAAAGTGCCCACTTCAAAGGCGTTTTGCAGATTGAGTGACACACTTCATCTAAAAAACCCAGCAGAGAGACCTTCCTAAGTTAAATGCTCAAGAAAATGCTGACAAGTCGTGATTGGATGTGACTTCAAAATGCAATGAACAGACAGCGTGGGAGTATCTGTCAGTGATTCGAGCAGCATACATTTCACAGTAAGGCTGCGTCAACAGCTGTGAATTGCACAGAAAACTTCCACAAGCCAAGCGCGACTCGTGTCTGCGGTGTTGGCCCGTGAAGATGACCTTCACACGTGAATAGATGGGAATGGTGGCGTACATGTAAAATCATGTTAAAATGCCAGGGATTTATTTTTTGGCATGTGGAATGGATGACACTGGATAATTCAAACATATTCAGAAGAAATCCTTCAAGCAATTTATCATTTTCGGATGTCAGCACTCAAGCTGACCAGCTAACTCACTCAAGGCCA